TTATTTACAGAATGAGCTAAACAAGGTTCCCCCTGAAGGGCGGACTCCCTCTGTTCGGGAGACTCTGTACCGACGGGCCCTTGGGGGAAAGATTAAGAAGCGGTCAAAGGTCGACAGTGCGGCAAGTTCAGCTCATCCCCGCAGCGAGTCAACTGGTTTAACAGACAGTGTAGCATTCCAGCATGGGTGGGAACAACTACAGAATGGAATGGAGGAGCTGAAGGCAATGATGGATGAGTTCAAAACCATCAAGGCTGATGTGTATGCATTCATGCACAGAAACTCCGGAGCGGTTACTGGCCAGGCAGTAAGTATTCATAATCCCTGACCTGTTTGGTATGAGTATCCCATGAGATTTGGATGGCGAAGGAATTTACCATCCTCGGCATGTTATATGATAGGGCACATCTCGTATTGATTCAGTCCCTGAGATTCCCAGGCCTGTGTCCGAGCCAAGCATGACGGTATGATTCCGTGACGCCCTGGAGTTTCTTAGAAATCAGTGCAGTGTCTAATTTAGGCTACTCTTGACTGCGTACTACCTTATCCAACTCATATGCCCTGTCTGTTGTAGGTCGGCACACATGTGCTTCTATTATCCCGCACCGGTGAGAAAAAAGTTGTTGCAGAGGGACTTCTGCTCTGCCCCCCTGGGCCAGGTTGGTCCGGTATCTTTGAGGATGTTTAATTAAACTTTTAATATGCCTCAGCGAGATATCGTAGGTTTTCGTGACTGTTCAGGCCTCATATTGCGTATTAGCATGGATTCACTAAGTGTAGAAGTATACAATGATACGATCCGTGGATTTCCAAAGCGATGTAGACTGTTAATGTAGGGGTGGTAAAATAACTGCTATTATGACGACCCATGTTTATTGAAGGATGTTTGGTTTAAAGATCAAGCTGCAATTACATGGGAAATTAGGGTATAATGTGCTTCGCTACCTAACTCATGAATGTAATACCATGTACTGTACGACATGTCTGAATGTACGTACTCCTCTTGTTCTAGTTCCAAAGTATTACACTTATAATGTCTGTGTTATGACATGTTATATATACAGTTCGAACGTCTGTTGATATATATGCTTGAATGTAATCAAAAATTGCTCTTGTGAATGCTGTAGGTGACACACTTTCCTTGGTCAAGGTCTTCGTGACATCCGCGTCAGTCCCGGACACACCCCTTATTTTGCCGACCATTTCTGGGGCGACTACCCTTCGCGATGTCGTCGGCGAAGATCCTATTGAGTGGAGCTACAACGACGTAAGGATCTACTTTAATACCTTTCTTGTATTGCATTCCGAAATTTATAAGAAGTATGACTTAAAGTAATCTCTGTGTTGGCAATTGCAGCTCATGCGCCGGGCTTGAAATGTTGGTACCGATACACCCATGTTAATTGCCCCGTTTGTCATATGGATTGAATGTCGAACCTGTCTTTGGATGGATTGTGTTGAGTTTTTGTTGAACTATGTCTGGAATTGATGCGTAGACCTTTGTGGTTTGAATTCGTATGGTGAAAAATGTGCCTAATTGCGTTGTTTACTTCTGTTTGAACTGTTAAGCACGTTTTGCGGAACAGGTTGTTGATGTGTAGATACTAGTAGGCTTGTTCTATGGGTTGCTTTACTTTGTTGGTAGGTATGGAATTCAGATTTTAATATGAATTAATGTTTGCGCGGGGCGTAATGATGATGATGTTTATAGCAATCTTTGTATTCGTAATTTATTTTCGTATCATACGCATCACAGCAGGTCCATTTGTTACGAACAATTTCAATTGCAGCGTACCCCCTGTTTTTCACAATACGCTATTTTTCCGTAACAAAAGGCCAGAAAATCGTTACAAAAAGTGGTCTTTGGATATTTGTTGTTACAGACGGTTTCGTGACTATAAGTAGGTAATATTTTTTTTACGGGGTTCAATGCCGTTACAAATAGTCGTAACAAAAACCAAGTTCTGACAACCGGTCAATGGAAAACACTTGTAACGCGAGGAACTTCCGTAACAAATACCGTAACTAAAAGTCCTGCCACATGCGCGGAAGGATCTACCTTTCGTTACGAGAGAAAATTCGTAACAAACATCGTAACAAATACCATACTTCAGGGAGCGTTGACCGATCGTAATAGTTACGAAAAGTGGCGTGGCAAAAAACATTCGTTACGCGAGTACACATTACGGAAAAAAGTCGTAACAAAGGCGTAGCAAATACGCAAATTGCACGAAATATGGCTTCTTGTTACGATTTTCCGGCCGTAATAGAAAACAGTTTTTTTGGTAGTGACACAAGCCACCTTATTCAAACTAGTTAATCTTTGTTTAGATTGACATTTTTGTAGTTTAAATTTTTTAAAACAATAGTTAATATTTAATTTGATAGGTGAGTAAATAAATATTTAATTTTATATTTTCTGAAAATATAGTATAAAAATCATCCAAAAATATCTATATAAATAGAATATTGATTTAAAACTAGGGTAACTCTAACCATAAAAGAATTGGTTTGTGATTTTGGTTTGAATTTAAATTTTTGTTTAAATAATATTTTGATATAAAATTTTATTAAAAAAAAAATAGTAGGGATTTATTGTGAATCATATAGGCTAAATTATATTTATTTTGATTTAGGGCAAAACCAATTATAAAACATATGCGTTTGAAGTTTATCAAAATTTACTATTTCGAAAAAGACACTTCTTCCTTCTGGAGCTTTTTATACTACTTTGTCTACACTCAAACATTAAAAGATAATAATATTTTAATATAAAAAGTAATAAGTAAAAAGTAAAGTAGCTTGATAAATTTATTAAACAATAAATCAAAAATAAAGTGAGATATTATAATAAATTTATTAAACAATAAGTAAAAAATAAAATGAAATTTCAATGATGGAGAAGGTAATGATTTCTTTTTGAAAAATCAAGATTTTATCGAAATTACAATCTGATTTGAAGATTAAAAATATTAATTGTTTTTATGAAAAATTATACAATGCAAACTTTTAAAAGTTTTTAAAAATTTTGAGGTCCATCAACAAATTTTTAAAGTTTATAGTTTCATTGGATTTTAATGGACAATTATAAAAAATTTGTGCACGAGATTATTAATAAATTATTATCAATTTTTTTTGAAAATATGTATTTTTATATTATAAATATAATATTTGAAAATTACTACTATTATTATGTATTACTGTTTTTTTTTAATTATCGAAGTACATTATATTGTCGGTAAAATTAACTTAATATATTTTTTTTTATTGAACCGTTAGTTATATTTATTTATTTTTTACTTTTTAATTTTATTTCTTATGCAAAATTGTAAAATTTGTGTTTACATAACTTTATATAATTATATAAATCAATAAAAAAATTTTTTACAATTCTACAAAATTCATAAATAAATCAAATCAAATTTATAAGAATCCATCTAAATCAATTAATAAAATTCATCAAAGTCTGCATTGACTCAGTAGAGTTTCTAAATCCACGTAAACTTTTTAAAATCCAAAAAAATCCAAAATGAATATACCCCTTAATTTCGAAATACCGTTTTGATCATGCACTGAAACCACCCACCACTTCTTCTATCACTTCTCATTTCATTTCATTTCTTTTTTTAAATTAAATAATTAAAAAAATAATTTTTAAAAAAATATACTACAAGTATAACTATAAATTACGGTAAATAGTTTGAATCTCTTCAAAAAAATAAGACTATTCAATCGTCCATGGCCATTCATAGGTGAAGACGACCACGTTTCATCAGCAAATATAAAATAATATAATAACGGTTAGTAGTACAATTTTTACTGTTTAAAATTATTTTTACTTTTATTACATCGAAACAATTTTTTTAAAAAAATATTATTTTTATAAAAATTTATCCAAATATCAAATCATTTTGCTTCTTGTTTATTTTTTAAACTAATTCAAAAGACCCTAAATAGCATTGTTACGTGGTTGATAACTTGTTCTCTATTTATTATTTATATGCATATAAACATTTATTAAAAATTCTAAATTATTTGTACAAATAATTTTATTTGTTACAAAATCAATATAAAGTCATAGATATATCTCAATTTTTGTGATTAATTATATTCATAGCGTCTCCGTTAATATTGGTTGTTCAATTATTTTAAACATATACACAATAAAAAAACAAAACATTCATTAAATTTATAAATTAAGAAATCTTAATTACGATATTTGTATACTGAAAAATTTATAATTATAGTAATATACCAACTTCAATCACACTCCAATTTACCGTAAGTTGTCTAGATTTTTTTTTCAAGCGGTTTACACCGTTGATTTTGATTTGTCAAAAGATTAAATTAAAATTGAACATTCTTAATTACAATTTTAATTCCACCTTGACGATTTTGTTTATGATTTCGGAAGAATTGGTTTTTGTCCGCTTTATATTTAATCAATCTTTTGAAATATTTATTTTCATTTCCAAATTTTTATAATTCGTTGTTTTTTTAGAAGCAGAAGATTACATCCCAACTAATATATCCACATTGGATCACAATATTTTGATTTCAATTGCTCCTACTAGCTTATTGTAAAACAAACTTAGTCGTCTTTATAGTACATATGAATATGTCCGAGACTTCTAAATGTTATATGGCGGTGGTAGACGAATTTATGGAATCAAGAATTTCATCCTTAATGAGTCTTTCAACTGTGTTTATTGAAATATGACCTAAACGTCTGTGTCACAATAAACTGGAGTCATGCAATTTTCGTTTAGTACCTTTTGATTCCACATTTAGGGCCTCATTATAGGAAGCTAGAATGTCAAGCATATATAAGTTGTCATTCATCATAAAAGTACCAAAACCATCCAAACATGAATTCAAAAATAACTCAACTTTATTGTTTTTAAAAGAACAATGATAACCAAATTTGTCCAAATAAGAAATAGAAATCAAATTTCGTCTAACTGACGGTACAATAAAAGTGTCTCGCAATTCAAGAAAATGTCCAATACTCAATAAAAACTTGAAAATGCCAACGGCTTCCACCTCTCTGAATCCCTATTTCCAAAGTAAATGCGTCTTTCAGCATCAGTTGGGTTTCGGTAGCTCAGACAACTCTGCATTGAAACATTGATGTTAGTAGTTGATCCAGAGTCTAACCATAACGTGTTTTGAGGTACTGAAGCTAAACTAACCTTAGAACAAACCAAAGTAAGAAACGTATGTGCCATTCGTGAAACTTAGTACAATTCTTATTCTCATGTCCAGTTTTCTTTCAAAAGAAGCAGGTCTTCTCAGGACGAGCCCGATGAGCTAGAGCTGGAACATGAGCCTTAGCAGTCTCAACCTCAACGGCCTTATATTTTCTCTTATTTCTGCCTGCATCCTTTGAGGTACCAACTACATGTACCTTCTCAGTCTTATTACGCTTCATCATTTCTTCCTCCTCAAGGCAGTGAGAGATGAGCTCATTAAGAGTCCACTTCTCCTTTTGGCTGTTATAAGTGACTGTAAACTGATCGTATTGAGTAGGAAGTGAGAGCAAAACCAATAAGACTAACATGTCCTGCGAAAGATCTAACTTAAGTGCTCTCAACTTAGAAGAAGTATTAAACATATTCAGGATGTATTCCCTTATGTTTCATTTGTCGTTATACCTCATGGTGATGAGACTCTTGAGAAGAGTACTCATTTCCGCCTTATAGCTTTTAGTAAATCGTTTCTTAATTTCGACAAGGAACTCATTTACAATAGTGATATCATCAGATATCGTACCTCTAAAGATTTCTGAAATGCTTTTCTTTATGATCATTAGACTAAAGCGATTAGACCTATCCCACTTCTCAAATAACTATTTTTCATCTGCAGTGCTTTCTGTCATAGTAGAATAGTGTTGTGTATCCTTAATGCCAAGTCTAGATCAATACAGTCCAAATAAATCAATATTGATTCTTTCCAGTGCTGAAAGTTGTCCCCAGATAGTATTAGAACCGAATAGATACAATAAAATTTCATCCTGAAGATAACAATGAATAAATATACATATATATATATATTGCCATGATTGCACATATGAATTTAGTTGCAGATATGCACTAATGCATTGTTATAGTACACATGCATATTTTAATATGAAAATAAATAAATTAATAAAATAAAATAAAAAGGAAAATTGAACTTTCTAATCGAGACTCTCAAACTTCAAATGTCATACACGAATTCCAAGAATAAAAATTATTCATGCACTTGAATTCTAATACTTATTATTATTTCATAAATAACAAGCACATTAATTACGAAATAGTGGAGGCGTAAATTTATTCTGAAGATGAAAATTTGAGTCGGGTGAAACAAAATTAAATTAATCAAAAGAGGATCAAATCAAATACATAATTAAATTTTGAAATAGGAAGAATTGTAACATCTAAATTTTCCCAAGAACATGAAAACATAATATGATCTCGATTAAACGCCGATTAATCCAAGAAAACATCCAAATAATTCAACATGCTCACATACCAATTGTTTAATTTAAATGCCCGATTCTTAAAGCGAAAGCGTACCTGAATATGAAGCCATATGCTAATCTTGGGTGATTAAAGGTTTGGTCTTCCAAGATCAGAGCGACAACTTCTTTTCTATCATTGTTGAGTGATGAGTAGAAACTGCAGGAGAATTAGTCTCTATACGACGCTCTATCCCGGGGACCTAACCCTAGCCTATTTATAATAGGGCAAAATCACTTTATCACCAAAATTTGGATAAAATTATCTTAATTAACTATGCAAAATCATGACAATTTTAAAAATAAAAATATATTATTTATCTAACTCTTTCCAGGCTTTGGCAAGTCACCTGCTGTTGCTGGTGCAGCTACTTCATCGGGGGTTAGAAGTGGAGGTGACGGTAGGCAAGGGTCAGACAGACGCTTCCGCTCCTGCAGCAGCAGCAACGCCCGACGCTTCTGCTCCTGCACCGGATCCATCAGCTGATTCATCCCCTCCTGCACCCGATTTATCCCCTCCTGCACCCGATAAATCTCCTGATTTATCCGCTCCTGCACCCCATAAATCTCCTGATTTATCCCCTCCTGCACCCGATCTATCTCCTCCAACAACTGATGTATTTCTATTGGTGCTGTTGCTGGTGCAGCTGCTGCATCGGGGGTTAGAGCTGGAGGTGACCGTTGGTGGTGCTGGTTGTATTGTTGGTTGTGCTGCTGCTGCTTGTTGTGCAGGTGTTTCTGCTGGTTGTGCTGCGAGATCATCGTATAAATCCAAAAAATCATTTGACAAAAACGATAACCAATAATATAGATCGGCACGGGCCATATGCATCCAATCGCAATACAAAGTGGAACTTTGTACCGCCAGTGTCCAAGTATAGTTCGACTGAACAAACCAATATAAATAGATCAAACGGTGCCCAGTGCCAAGACATCTACCATCTCTAAAAAATAATGCCATCTCTCTCGCAATATGGTAGCGCAAAATAGCAGGCCATTCCCGAAAAGCAAGCCAATCACCAACAATAAATCTATGGGTGTGAGCTTATGTTTCTTCCAGGTCAGGAAGAATGAAAATACGCACACTACTAAGGCGTTGAACGTAAGCACTCCGACGTTGTGTTTACGTACGCCCGATCGGGCGGAGGTAGACAAGTCCTCTGACTCATCTTCTTTGTCATCTTCTTTGCTGCGAAAAGAATGCACATCAATAACATGCATATACAAAAATAATTACCAAACAGCCGTAATTGAAAATTCTAAAGCCTATCGATTAATTTTCAAAACAAACAATTAGAACACTCTCATAGAAGTAGATATAATAATTTAAGGGTCACATAGTAGATGCAATGTAATTCAAGTATAATTCCATAAAAAACAAACAATTAAAACACTCTGAAATAGATATAATAATTACGCTTGCAGAACAAAATGCTAAAGCTTTTAGTGTTCTGTGCAAGAGTTGAAATTGCAACCCAACTATCCAAGAGCCTAACCCAAAACAGTAAAATATCCTAAAAGATTGATTCAATTAAACTCTGGTATGAATCAATGGATTGTTTGTACATGTAAATACAGCTTCAACAAATTAAGGTTTAATTTCTCGTCCAAATTATCAATCTCACGACTCCAACAATTAAAATTTAGGGTTTCAGATATTACCAATTTGCTGGACTGGTCGTGGACGAAGGTGCTTGGGCGACGGTCGGCGGCTGGGCAGAGCACAGCGGTGGCGTCGTACGGCGGCTGCTTTCGTGCTGTCGATTGAGGAGGAGAGAAATTGCGAACCCTAATAAATCATGTGTTAATAGTGTTTTTAGGGGTACGCATTATTTTTTAGTTTGATAGGATTTGAAATCTTATCATCACATGCTAAAATTACGTAAGATTTATAAATTTCAAATCTAATTTGTTTTACAGATAAATTGGAGTATTTAAATTATTTATATTTTAATTGATATAAATTAAACTTGTATATTTATTTATTTATTTTTATCAAATTGAGTTGTTGCAATAAATATTTTTTTAATAAGTATTAAAAATACTACATATTCATCTCTAGAGTTTATATTTATTTTTTGCAGTTAAATTTATTATATTAAAATATAGTACAAATTTATTATATTTATTTGAGTATATAATATAAAGAAATTTTAAATTAAAAATAAATTAAATGTATAAAATTAAAATACAAATAATAATATATAAATAATAAAAATAATTTTATATCCAATTAATAAAAATATAATCGGATACTCTTTCCATCTAGTTCGATTATATCTTTTTTAAAATATCTAATCAAAATATGCTATATTTATACAACATCATATAATTATTCAATTTTAAAAAAAGAAAAAAGAAAAATTCAAACCGCCGTTACAACCACACAAGGGTTTAGGGTTTCTTCTTTTCGTTTTTAGGGTTTCAGAACTTCTTTTATTCTTCTTCCCCAATTTGTCGATGGAGGTAGTTGAGGGCAAGTCAGTGTCGTTCGCCGATGGGGTGGTGGTGTCTGTGCGCAAGAATGGATTGGAAAAGGTGATGTTGACTTGGTCGATAATGATGGTGATATTTGAAGTGGTTAGAGCGGTGTCTATGAAGAAGATGGGAGTGGTGGAAGCGGCGGCGCTGGTGGGACTAGTCGCCGGCGGCACGTTAATCAATTTGTTCCGGGAGAAGAGCAACCGCTTGGGCAATGCAGGCGAACTGTTGGGTATGGTCTTGGTATGGATCTCGCTTAACGGATACGTGGCTTCGTTTCCATTCGACTTCGGACACCTAAGGTGGCCGATCACTATTTTGTGGATTTTGAGTGTACTTTTGTGGTCGCCTCTTGTTGTTGCATCCGTATCTCTCGTTTTGTTTTATTGTATTTCAGATCACAAGAAGAATCTGCGCTAGAGAGTGTTTAAACACACTTTTATATGTCTTTTTTTTTTTTTTTTAGCTAAATAATTAGCAATTAATAATATATATTTTGAATCTATATATTCTGAAGATTGTGACCAAGAAAACAACCAACTAACCACTACAAAGCCACAAAACAAAAAAAATTACTTTGGATTTTTCGATTAATCACTCACATTGATAATCAACAATATAAAGCATTGTGTGTTTTTTATAAAGAAGACAGGAAAAAAAAAAATGATATTCAAGTCATCAAAAATAGTAATTAACATTGCACATTTATAGATCAAAAATAGTTAGTTATTTTATGACGTATATATGAAATGATAAGTGATATTTTTATAATCGTATCAAAAACTTGAACACCATAGCATATCCGGCTGGCCTGAGCTCTTGAATGTAAAATTTAAGATATGTATGTATATATTAGTATTAGTTAATTTTTAGTTTAATAAATTCTGATAATATTTTATCACATCTATATTAAATATATGATACATATTTTAAATTTATTATATTATAAATAAATATCAATTAAATAAATAATCTCCGACAAAAAAGGCACAAATTTAACAATTTTTTTTTTAAAAATGATTTTATTTATAGTTTTCTTATGATTGATCTTAAAATATAAATAAATAAGATGATAGTTGAATGTGTTATTTTATAAAAAACAATAATATAAGTAGTACTTTTGGTAGATAACAAAAATTCAAACCATAAACAAGTCACCTTATTCAAATTAGTTAGTTTTTGTTTAGATTGAGATTTTTGTAGTTTAAATTTTTTTAAAACAATAGTTAATATTTAATTTGATAGGAGAGTAAATAAATATTTAATTTTATATTTTCTGAAAAAATAGTATAAAAATCATCCAAAAATATCTATATAAATAGAATATTGATTTGAAATTAGGGTAAATCTAACCATAAAAGAATTGGTTTGTGATTTTGGTTTGAATTTCAATTTTTGTTTAAATAATATTTTGATATAATATTTTATTAAAAAAAATAGTAGGGATATTATTGTGAATCATATGGGCTAAATAATATTTATTTTTATTTAGGACAAAATCAATTATAAAACATATGCGTTTAAAGTTTATCAAATTTTGCTATCTCGAAAAAGACACTTCTTCCCTCCTGAGCTTTTTATACTACTTTGTCTATGCTAAAATATTAAAAAATAATAATATTTTAATATAAAAATCAATAAGTAAAAAGTAAAGTAGCATGATAAATTTATTAAACAATAAATCAAAAATAAAGTGAGATATTACAATAAATTTATTAAACAATAAGTAAAAAATAAAATGAAATTTCAATGACGGAGAAAGTAATGATTTCTTTTTGAAAAATCAAGATTTTATAGAAATTGCAATCTAATTTGAAGATTAAAAATATTAATTGTTTTTATGATATTATTCTTTTGTATTTAAAAAAAAAATAATTTGTTTCTTGTTGTGGGGGAAACATTAAATAAATAAATACATACTACATACATTTAGGGGATTGTATTCAAGTCTTTTAAAATTTAGAGGTATTCAATCGAGACTTTTAAAAGGTTCGTTAAAATCTTGAGGTATTCAATGCAGACTTTTAAAAGTTTTTTAAAATTTTGAGGTCCATCCGCAAACTTTTAAATTTTATGGATTTCATTGGATTTTAATGGACAATTATAAAAAATTTGTGCACGAGATAATGAGAGATTTTGATGGATTTTTAAAATTATTATTATTATTATTATTATTATTATTCTTGTTGTTGAAGTTGTTGTTGATAATATATAAGTGATAAAGAGTATGATAATATTTATTAATATTATTTTAAATATTTAATAAAAAGTAATAATTTAAAAATAAAATATATTAATAAATTATTATCAACTTTTTTTGAAAATATGTATTATTATATTATAAATATAATATTTGAAAATTACTACTATCATAATAAATATGTATTACTGTTTTTTTTTAATTATCGAAATACATTGTATTGTCGGTAAAGTTAACTTAATATATATATTTTTTTCGTTGAACCGTTAGTTATATTTATTTATTTTTTTACTTTTTAATTTTATTTCTTATGCAAAATTGTAAAATTTGTGTTTACATAAGTTTATATAATTATATAAATCAATAAACAAAATATTTTAGAATTCTACAAAATTCATATAAATCCATAAATAAATCAAATCAAATTTATAAGAATCCATCTAAATCAATTAATAAAATTCATCAAATTCTACATTGACTCTGTAGACTTTCTAAATTCAAATAAACTTTTTAAAATCCAAAAAAATTCAATGAAATCCCAAATGAATATACCCCCTTAATTTCGAAATTACCGTTTTGATCTTGCAATAATACCAGCCACCACTTCTTCTATCACTTCTCATTTCATTTCATTTCTTTTTTTTTTTAATAAAAAATTTAAAAATAATTTTTAAAAAAATATACTACAAGTATAACTATAAATTACGGTAAATAGTTTGAATCTCTTCAAAAAAATAAGACTATTCAATCGTCCATGGCCATTCATAGGTGAAGACGACCACGTTTCATCAGCAAAAATAAAATAATATAATAACAGTTAGTAGTACAATTTTTACTTTTTAAAATTATTTTTACTTTTATTATATCGAAACAATTTTTTTAAAAAATATTATTTTTATAAAAATTTATCCAAATATCAAATCAATTTGCTTCTTGTTTAATTTTTAAACTAATTCAAAAGGCCCTAAATAGCATTGTTATGTGGTTGATAACTTGTTCTTTATTTATTATATATATGTATATAAACATTTATAAAAATTTCTAAATTATTTGTACAAATAATTTTATTTGTTACAAAATCAATATAAAGTCGTAGATATATCTCAATTTTTGTGATTAATTATATTCAGGCGTCTCCATTAATATTGCTTGTTTCAATTATTTTAAACATATACACAATAAAAAAACAAAACATTCATTAAATTTATAAATTAAAAAATCTTAATTACAATATTTGTATACTAAAAAATTTATAATTATAGTAATATACCAACTTCAATCAAACTCCAATTTACCGTAAGTTGTCTAGATTTATTTTTCAAGCGGTTTACACCGTCGATTTAATTAAATTAAAATTGAACATTCTTAATCACAATTTTAATTCCACCTTGACGAATGCATTTAATACATCTCCAACAATTAAATAAATACATAAATAAATGTCCACGTGTACTTGATTTCAAACACTTGAAAAAGATTATTTGATTGTACATATATTTACACACGTACAAATATATGTATATATTGCCATGATTGCACATATGAATTTAGTTGCAGATATGCACTAATGTATTGTTATAGTTCACATGCATATTTTAATATCAAAATAAATAAATTAATAAAATAAAATAAAAAGGAAAATTGAACTTTCTAATCAAGACTCTCAAACTTCAAATGTCATACACGAATTCCAAGAATAAAAATCATTTATGCACTTGAATTCTAATACTTATTATTATTTTATAAATAACAATCACATTAATTACGAAACAATGGAGGCGTAAATTTATTCCGAAGATGAAAATTTGGGTCGGGTGAAACAAAATTAGATTAATCAAAAGAGGATCAAATCAAAAACATAATTACATTTTGAAACAGGAAGAATTGCAACATCGAAATTTTCCCAAGAACATGAAAACATAATATGATCTCGATTAAACGCCGATTAATCCAAGAAAACATCCAAATAATTCAACATGCTTCACATCAATTGTTGAATTTAAATGCCCGATTCTTAAAGCGAAAGCGTACCTGAATATGAAGCCATATGCTAATCTTGGGTGATTAAATGTTTGGTCTTCCAAGATAAGAGCGACGACTTTTTTTTCTATC